TCCTCCTCCTCCTCCTCCATGCGGCCTCCCAGCTTCACAGGCCCATGGACAAAGCCTGTGGCAGCTGCTGCTGCCTCTCCAGCGTGAGGACAGCGTGAAGGTGCTTGGGTTGCTGGCGCTGGCCTCAGTCTGGGAGCTAACAGAGCACAAAGACACCCATGGTGTTTTGTGGAAAGTGCTGGCAGTTGGGACGGACCAGGTTTTCATTCTAGATTCTGCAAGTGAAAGAGAGAGAAAAGAGTGACAAATCGAAAAACCTCACTGTTCTGCAAGGTTTGGGGCTGTGACTTCCCCGGCAGTATTCAAACGATGCCCCTTCCCAGCGATGTTTTAAAATGGAAATCAGACTTGGAGGGGTGTTTGGAGTCTTCTGTTCTGTTCAAGACACATACCCAGGCTGGCATAGTCATTATCGTTCTTAATCAAGTACCTGTATATTCCATACAAAAACTCATTCCTGGGAAGAGAAGAGCACTTTTGTGGTGAATAGTCAACCAACATAGTGGTGTGGGGGTGGGTTTTTGTTGTTGTTGTTTCTCTGGGTGAGAAGTTTGGAGGCAAATCCATGGACTTTTGTCTTCTCTTTCCACAGCGATATCTGGCATGATTGTTCCTCCCATGTGAAAGAATTGCCTTGAAGAATTTTATTAATGAAGAGGTTGGATTCTGCTACAGAGAGTAATCTGATACAAGTCCCAGAGTGGAACTTTTAACTCAGGCCTTTTTCAGAGGAGTCACAATAACTGCAGATTTTTAAACAAACAATATCACCGACCTTGCAAATACTGAAGTTGGAAGGGATCTGTGAGTGCAGGGTGTTGGTTCAAGTTGTACCTCCCAGATGTTTGGGGGATATATTTATTCTGTGTTGATAAAAGCAAATCCTCTTTTTCTTTTCTTTCTTTCTTTTTTTTTTAAGCTTAACTCTGCGGTCATTTGTCTTTTATAAACCGTAAAGCTGTATACAAGGGACACTATAAATAAGACCCCATGTTTTAATTTATGATGTTTTTAAAGCCGTGTAAAGGGAGAATGAAGTGGTGATATTTACAAAAAAAAGTTAAAAAAAGAAAAAAAGAAAAAAGAAAATTAAAAAAAAGCTTGTATGGGACAGAATAGGAATGCCAGTTAGATTTTTTAGAAAACTAAGAGTCGGCTTTTGCGCCTTAAAGCATATCAAATGGTAGTTAGCTCAGACAGTGCATTTTCAGTATCTAACTTAACATGCCACCCCTTAGCAGTGCAAGCTTATTTCTCTCTTTCCGTATCGTTGTCTTAAGTAACTGTGTAAATAAATGCAGCCTGGAGTCAAAAAGTGACCGTCACGTGATCACACGTTTCCCTTCAACACAAAAATCCAGTGCCTCTAGACAGATTGTTAAAAAAAAACTGCAGATTTAAACCTGAGATCATTCTCGCTTTTAATTATGTCAACTTCTTCGGGAGCCGATGGCCTCTTGAGAGCTTGGTGGCACACGGACTGTGTGAGAACCTCCTTCGAATCTTTATGGAACAGGGTCCAGGCACAGAATTCCACATTATGCCTCCAGTTATCAAGCCAAAATATCCTCTTACACCCCCGCCATTTACAAGGTAAAAGTTTACTCATCCTAAAGGGGACTTCCCACCAGGCCTCCCAAAGCTGACAAGGGCAAGATGGCAGGCATTTCCCATGACAGGGCCTCTCTCAGTGGCCCTACCCACTGGTAACATAGTAGATTAAAAGGATAGGTAAGTGCTTTGAAATTAAGAGGAAGAGGAATCTAGGAGAAAGGAGAAGTAGGTTGAGACCTCCCAAACATCGCTTTCTGTTCTCCGGCAATTTTTTGCTCTCATTATCTGGGAAGTGTTCTTAAAAATAAGAATTGATAGCAAAGATGCAGCGAAGCTATGAGGATGCATTTGCCTGATACTTTTTTTTTTCTTTGCGGTTGTGTTTTTGTATGTAGTTATAAATACTGTAGATTTTTTTGTGATTTTTTGCCAAAGTTGTTGTTCTATTTATACATTTTAATGTCTTAAGACAGTTTTTCAATATCACAAAAAGATTTTACCGCATATTTTGCAAAGGAAAAAGAAGCTCACTACCTTTAGCTTGCACATACTTGCGAAGTTAATGAAGAGGCTTTCTGTTTCAAAGGGGATTTTGTAAAATATCCATATAAATAATGTATTTATCTTTGGAATTTGTACATTGCTTTCCCCTTCTTCCTTTTCCTCCCACCCCCAACTTATTTTATTGTGTATGTTTGCTATGTGAAAAAGTGCGTATTTGTTTGGTCACCTACAGTTGTATTAGCTGTTCCAATGTGATTTTTAAACATTTCATTTATAGTTATTTTTAGTATTGTTTTAAACCATGCTTCAATTTTTTTAAATTTCCACCCCAAAGCCATTGTCTATTTTTGTATTATTTGTAAGTTAAGAAGTTTTTTCCAATATATGGCAAAAAAAGGTAGCATATTATTCTTGTAGCATTTAGTTCTGTAGATTTAAAAAAAATGTATCCTTTGCTTTGGAAGCTTACAAAAACACACACCCCTAATGCTGTTTTACTCTATTAATATGCATGGAACCTCTCCCTCTGGAGTGACGCATTTTGTGCATTAAATTCGGGGGAGAAACTTCATAGAAATCAATGAACATTCTTTCTTAAGTCTGCTTGTATATTTCCTCTGTCTTTCACATAAATATAAACCAGCAGATTGGATGCCTTAACAATGCAAATCATATCCATTTCACTTGTACATTGTAAGTGTGCACCAGAACTGTCAGTCATCACTAACATTATAAGAAAAAAGAAAAAGAAAAAAAAAAGACAAAGAAATCGAAAAGCACAAAAGAACTGTTTTGTTACCTTAAGACAATGTAACTTTTTCTAGTAGAGCAAGAAATTTACAACAATGCTGCAACTGTGCATGCCCCCATATGGATTTTGCAATGGTTTTCACTAGACTATCAGAGTGCGATTTTTATGGGTTGGGGTGGGTGAGGGAGGGGAGTTGCGGGAGGGAAGGGAGGAGGGGAGGAAAGCTGATTTTTCATGGTGAGAAATAATAATGATGATTAATAATAATAATAAAAAAACTGGAAAATGTAAGCAAGGTGGACGCATTGCTTCTCGGTACTCGGAAAGGCTGTCTGAATTTGTATGGTAAGCGCTGGCCTGAAGAAGTGTACAATTTAAAGCCATATTTTGTCTGGTGAGCCCCTTAACTGTTTGTGAAGGGTCAGTCGGCCGGTGAGGTGTCCGGCTCAGACCCCGACAACAAACGCCACCCATCTGTCAGCCATGTGTAGTGGTTAGAACTTCTCTTGAAAGTCCAAAGAGCCTTTAAAATATGTTTGATTTGTGTCTTGTTGCCTCTATTTATATTGATTAGATGAAAAGACGTGCTGGCCCTCTGACCCTCTTTCTCCTACACAAAACTTTTACAAATAAACGATGTTCCCCTAAATACAGAATATGGCTTTAAGAAGATGAAATAGAGAACTAAGATTTCAGTTTTGGGGGAAAAATACAGCTTCTGGATGACTGGATTGCATAACATGCCCTGGCCTCACATTGTACTAGAATGCAGCTTAACGAAGTCATCTCTAAATCTACTAACCTTTCACCTTCTTATCAAACTTTTTGAATAGACACACACTGTACAGTTCAATTGTTAGCGAACCTAACTACTGTAGAGATTGTTATAATTTTTTTTTTTTTTGCAAAAATTCAAGCTGTAAAAACTTTTCAACTTTCACAATATTTAATTAAAGTTACTTCCTGTCTGTGATGGCAGCTCCTAGTTGTGTATTCATTTCAATATTTCAGATGAGCCAAAGTCCAACATAATGTAAAAGGTCTGTGTTTGCAATTGTTCAGACCAGTGTTGACACCCAGAGAGAAGAAATTAGGGTAGTCCTGGGACACCCACTTTCTCTCCTTGTAAATCCTTGGGGATTTGCTAATCTGGGATGCAAATTGAACACGCACAGCGTACTGCTGCCCTCTGCTGGCAGCAGCTGGATGCACATGTCCCCTTGCTGGCCCACAGAGGTGCCCAGAGCCCCCCAAATTTCAACAGGCAAGCAATGAGAACCCCTGCTTTGACTGAGCTGTGAATCCAACACCTGCCCATTCTAGAACACCATCCTCCGTGCTACAAGTCTGAACCATACACTTCACATACGCTGCTAATTAATCCCTGTGAGCCTTTTGCCCAATTAATTATGTGCCCTGGCTCACTGATGAGGAGGCGTGTGCGAACTCAGAACCTGCATGAGCCACAGTTTTAAATCCCATGTGGGTGAGACACGTTCCCTGTTGGGTGAAACCAAATCTTTGTGGAGTCGAACATTCCACAAACACCCGATAGGTCCACAATCCTGTAAAACTGTTTTGCTCTAAGTGTCATCATGATCATAAGTCTTCCCAATTGCACATTCAACACTTTTCCTACTTTGCAGTTGTTGGACATGATAAGGTTAATGATGCTTATAAAATGTCTGGAGAACTCAGCGAATAGGCCATAGACCAACAGACCCTGGGCGGGCAGAGCTAACAGGGTGTCACGCGGCCACCATCATGGTTATTTGTGCTGGGCATCGTGGATGCACATTTGCTCTGGAATGGAGCCCAATGTGAGATGATGACAGAGTGTCACCAATTGACTTAATAAGTAGAGAAGCTGCCACCCTTTTCTTCAAAAGGGAATCTACGTGGATTAGTTTGGTCATTATACATATTTGGAATTCTATATTAGACACAGGTCCCTGTATTAAATACAGAAGATTAAAAAAAATGAACAAGAGGCATCTGCCCTCAGGACACTCACCATCTCAAACATGACAAATGTATAGTCAAAAAGTAGTCTAGAATGGTTAGAGTGAGACAGGCCCGCCTCGGAATAAAAAAGACAACCACACGTTTACAGACTGGCTTCTGCTTTCCTTAAGGTCTATTTCTTGGAAGCATTCATTCATTCATTCATTCATTCATTCACTTTGAAGGTTTCCTATGCACCTGGCACCAGGCAAGGCCTGGTGGACTCCATAGTGGGCGCAGAGACACTGGTCCTGCCCTCATGGACCTTACAATTGAGTGGGGCAAGCAGACACTATGCAACCACACACATCTGTTCTAACAAACCAACAATGGCCATGGAGAAAAAGTCCAGCGTGCTCTAAAAGTCAATGACAGTGGGATCTGACTTAGCCTGAAGGGTTGGGGAAGGTTTCCAGAGATGTGACCTTTGAGCCAAGATGTGAAGAATGAGGTAACCAGGTGGGAGGGGCACCTAAGGCAGAGGGAATGAGGGCAGGTGTAAGGACCTGAGCTTGGGGCATGGATATGGTGCCCTCAAGTACAGAAAGTCTGTGTGGGTGGAGTACACACGTGTGCTTGGCACTGTGCTAGATGTTAGGATGCACTAGGGAGACCAGTCATAATTCCCGCCTGTTGGGACTAAGGCACAGCTTGTACACTCAGAGCCCCCTATCTGTCCACAGCAGCTATGCTGGTTAAACAAGGTGTGTGTGTGTGTGGGGGGGGGTTGGAGGGGGGCTGTCAGGGTAAAAACTGACACAAGGCACCTCACTCCACATGGGAATGTGGGCCCAAGGGTGCCCCTCTTTCATATTTTAAGAATGCCAGATATATTGTTGGGTTCTGGATTTTTTTTAATGTGAAATTTTCATTTTTAAAATGTTGTCATCTAATCCAAAAATAGCACTTTCAAAACACTGCATTGAGCAAACAAGGTCCATGAGCTCTAGAATGTCAATTTGGGACTTCTGGCCGAAACACAAGTTCCTCCGAGAGATGTTTACACAGCCTGATCTGAAGGTCATAGCCATAGGTCCCATCCATGGAGATCCAGGAACGCTGCACAGAAGGGCACGCCGGGTGCTGTGAACAGGAGTTCTCCCAGCGGCCCCAGGGAAAGCGGGGCATGGAAGGCCACGGCAGATGCCTCTGGAGCTGGTGGTATGAGAAACCACCACTAACATCAGTGGAAAGGAATAGGGATTCTATGGGAAGATGGACTAGGTCCGTGGTTGGCAAACCGCGGCTCGCGAGCCACATGCGGCTCTTTGGCCCTTTGAGTGTGGCCACAAACTTTCAATCGCACTATGTACGTGTGCGCCCGCACGTGGTATTTTGTGGAAGAGCCACACTCAAGGGGCCGCAGTTTGCCAACCACAGGACTAGGTAATCGTGAAAGAAATTCCCTCTTCTCTGCAACGGGCAGTAGCCACATTCAATGCAAAATGTATAGATGGGTTTTGTTTCTTTTAATCTCCTCTGGCCTCGCAGAAAGGCCCTCGTGAACGAGTTCCTTTTAAGCAGACTGCCAGGTAAGTGCACACTTTCCAACACTCCCTCCTCAGGGCCATGCTGCCCTTCCAACCACTCACATTCTCAAGAATGTTGCTTCTGGAATTATCCTCTCACCCCAACATCATCAATTTCTCCTTCCTCAATATTACTTTCTGAGTAGCATACAAATATATCATCTTAAAAACTATTTGACCTCACTTTGCTTTCAATCTGCCCATCGTTTTCTGCTCCCTTTTATATACAGCAAGTCCCCTCTAAAGCAGGGGTGGGGAATGTCCAGGCCACGGGCCATATAAGGCCCAAAAATCATTTACTCTGGCCCTGCCAAGGCATTAGGAGTGAATTAATTCAACGTTCGACCAAACAGAGCAGGCTAATGTTTAAGTTGATAATTTTGTATGGCCTGCAAATGATGTTATAAATACCCAAATGGCCCGCGGCAGATAAAGGTTCCCCGCCCCTGTTCTAAAGGGTCACGTGGCTGTCTCATCCTCGTCTTCATTCCTGTTCTCTTGTTATCCGTATCACAATGGATGTTTACTGCAGTGATGAGTAGTGAGGAATCTTGAACATTGCAAATAAGGGATCAAATGTACATTTTAGATCATCCTGGTAGCAGCATAGAGGATGACTTGGAGAGAGGCAGAGGGGAAATGGAGGCCATCACAACGGTCCAGGCAAGGAATGAACACACAGCTTGAACCAGGAGAATGAAAAGGAGGAAAGCAGATAGAATTAGAGATATTCCACACTGTGATTCTAGTCAACCACACGGTATTATACAGTTCAAAGCTGCTGAGAGAGGAGGTCTTCAGGGTTCTCACCAACAAACGAAATGGTGATTGTGTGACTTGATAGAGGTGTTAGCTAATGCTATGGTGGTCATCACATTGCAGGTCATAAATTAACATGCTGTACGCCTTAAACTTACACAATGTTACATGCCAGTGATATCTCAATCTCAATTAAAAGAGAGATTCAGGGGTCGGAACCACCAGAATTTGTGTACAACATGGGGATGGAGGGAAAGAAAAAAGACAAAATAAACTCAGTTTTCTGACTGATTGATTCCTCGGACTGTTATGAAGCTGTGACGCTCAATGGCGAAGTCCCTTCCTCCGCTCCCTCGCCTCCCTTCCCTCCCGCCAAAGGCTTCTATATTTACATCAGGAATGAAATGCAGTTTCCGGAACTGGAAATGTTTTATTTTTTTTCTTAACTTAAGCATCAAGTGGTTTTATCTCTTCTCTCTGGAGAGTTATGCTACAGTGGGACTGATTTTTATCTACTTAGCATACTTCTTTCCCACTGATTGTAGAACTTCCACATTCTATATTAAGAAGGAGAGTTCAGAGCCCCGAGAGTTCTAACCATGGGCCTGGAAGCTGGCTTCCAGCAGGAGGAAGTGTCTTGCCCAGGGGGTTATGCTATAAGGAGCAAAACCTGGTGCTCCACAAAAGATTGACAACATGTCAACAACAAAGAGGGAGCCTCCTTGAAGTCTGTTCTCTCAATAACATAGATTTGGGTGGGATTCTGCTAGGACAGTAGTCGCCATAGAAGGAGGAGAGCAAGGAGAGATGAGTTAGAATTAGGCAAGTGCGGTGTCTTCTCTAACACATTTGTTTCTTCAAGATAATATTCTTACCAAGGACTTCCTTTGCATTGGGCACTGTGCTAAAGGCTGGGGTTAGATTGTGTCTTAAATAGACCCATTTCCTTCCCTCACTAGTACCTGAGGAGGACACATACATGAATCAAACCATCACACACATAATTTCACACTGAGATCAATGCTACTGTAACCCTAGTATATCTGAGAGCATATCTCTGCACACATTCAAGCTTATTTCAACACCCAACTGGATTCCTTATTCAAATCCCTTGCAGTGGTTCTCAACCTTCCTAATTCCGCGACCCTTTAATACAGTTCCTCATGTTGTGGTGACCCCCAACCATAAAATTATTTTTGTTGCTACTTCATAACTGTAATTTTGCTACTGTTATGAATTGTAAATATCTGATATGCAGGATGTATTTTCAGGAGTCACGACCCACAGGTTGAGAACCACTGCCTTAAAGGCTCTTAAAAATAACTTAATTCTAAGTTCCACAGTAGTCCTATCTGGTTTGGCTCAGTGGATAGAGCATTGGCCTGTGGACTGAAGGGTCCCAGGTTCGATTCCAGTCAAGGGTACATGCCCAGGTTGTGGGCTCAATCCCTAGTAGGGGGAATGCAGGAGGCAGGATCAATGATTCCCTCATCAATGATCTTTCTAGCTCTCTCCCCCTGTCCCTTCCTCTCTGAAATCAATCAATAAAGTCCACAGCAATACCTATTACAACTCTTTTTACTCTTTTTCTTATTTCTCACCTTACTCAGAGGCCCTAATCCATCTGACAAAAAAGTCTATTCTGAGTTTGCATGATTTTTCTTTTGACCCCCTCCCTTTCCCAGCTCTTTTA